GGGGCTGGGTTTGAACCTGCCACCTCCAGTATATGGGGCCAGTGCCCTACTCCTTGAGCCACAGGCACCGCCCCACAAAGAGAGAATTAAAGTTATACATCTAAAACCTCTTAGTTTATAAAGGATAAAAGTTTCAGTTATTAAGTGAGGCCATGAATTCTGCCCCATCTGAGCCCGTTAATTCTGACCAAATGGAAGATGACTCTTACATGCATAATCAGGAATTATATAAATCCATTCCACTGATTCTAGGAAGAAATGCATAAGGAAGACCAAGCTGGTTTCCACTACTAAAAAATAAATTCAAAGGACAAAATCTCCTGTGGTCTTTAGCATATTATATTTGCATATAAAAAAAGAAATTTAAAAAGTTGATTATTATGTAGAATTGATTTATGGAAAGTTTTGGAAGTGTTCTTTATTTTTGTTGCTTTTAAATGTTTTAAATTTCTAGGCTGGGCTTGGTGGCTCTTGCCTGTAATCCTAGCACTCTGGGAGGCTGAGGTGGGTGGATTGCTTGAGCTCATGAATTTGAGACCAGCCTAAGCAAAAATCAAGACCCCATCTCTAACAAAATAAAAATAGAATAGCCAGGCATTGTAACTGGTGCGTATAATCCCAGCTACTCAGGAGGCTGAAGCAAGAGCATCACTTGAGCCCAAGAGTTTGAGGTTGCTGTGACACCACGGCACTCTACCAAGGATGACAAAGTGAGACTCTGTCTCAATTTAAAAATAAATAAATCTTTTAAATTTCTTTCCTCAATGATTTACCAAAAAATGAAATGGGAAAAAAGATGTGCAGTTACTAAAAACAAGCCTATAATGAAGATTGTACCTTTTAGACACTACAGCTTTGTTGCAAAGAGAATTGCACTATAACATTACAGATGATAGTAAAATAGGGTTCAAGAGCCAAAAACTTGTCTGGGAACAGTGGCTCACACCTGTAATTCTAGCATTCTGGGAGGCTGAGGAGGGTGGATTGCCTGAGCTCAGGAGTTCAAGACCAGTCTGAGCAAGAGTGATTCCCTCATGTCTACTAAAAATAGACAAACTGAGGCAAGGGGATAGCTTGAGCCCAACCAAGAATTTGAGATTGCTGTGAGCTGTGATGCCATCTCACTCTACCCAGGGTGACAGAGAAGACTCCGTCTCAAAAAAAAGCCAGAAATTTTATGTTTCCTAATATAAAGTAATACTTTATAAGGATCAAAAGGGAATTTTCCCCTTACTTCTTCCACATTCCTTTCTCTTGTATCATTAAAGGATTAGAAAGATTTAGTCTTCCTAGGAGTTCATTCTAGCTTGGCTTTATAATGGTTGGCCTTTATTAGTCTAGTTAAAGTTTTTGACCTCTGAAATACTATAAAGTCATTTGTTTTAAATAGGAGAGGTTTAAGAAGGAATGGCAGAGATTTTTAAAGAGTAGAATTGTCAACTGTAACCTCCCTCAAGTTTAGTAAAATATCTTCTGGCTCACAGAAGTGTGGTTGTCATTCAGGCCTCACAGTTGGTTCCTTAACTGATTTTAACCAGGTACTTGATTTCCCTCTCTGGAGCTCTGGCTATTGTTAATGCAGTACCCTGCTTTGCTTTGGATGGACAGTGGATTTTAAACTCTTTCCTGGATGCTACCCTTACCTCAGTGATTGGAGACAATGATGTCAAAGATCTGATAGGATTTTTCATCTTGCTTGGTGGCAGTGTACTTTTGGCTGCCAATGTGACCCTGGGACTCTGGATGGTTACAGCACGGTAATATTTGCACTCATCTGACCGAATCTCTGAGTTATAATACACAGCTATGTGGTAATATCCATTGCCATTGAAATCCTTATTTGGTATGAAATGTAAAGTGTTTCTTTATACTTTTATCTTAGCCAACAATTTTGAGCTCCTCCTATATCCAGAGTACCTAAACTCTGTGGTAGGGATAAACAGAAGAAATAAAAGGCATAGTTTCTGACTACACTCTAGTTTTAAAAACTAAATGTACACTGATGCTTGTGGAATAATTTCTAAACAAGTACAAAGTCATGTAATACTATTTTTTGTGACTACATATCAAGTTGAAATAATATCATAGAGAAGAACAGAATTGGATGGAATTAACTGGGAAGAACTTGCAAAAGCATCATTAATCAAGATTTAAAGACCGGACTTTGACCAAGTGAAAAGGTCACTGTTTCCTTGGCCTATATCTCTTGTCCTTTGTCTTGTTTGAAAAGTATTTTAAAAGTTAATGTGTATTATTTTTTAGTCTGAAAACTGAGGTCTGATTATATTTAAACTAGTAAAATTTTGTAAAAGAATCTGCTGACATGAAAGGGAAAAATTTTTGTCAAATGATGCCAAATAAATGAACAAAGTAGGAAGTAGGGCCTATGATATCAAGAGACATGCTTTGCCCCCACATGAGTTGCCTTTGATAAGGTGTTTCTGCCCCCTCAGAAAGCAGCACTGGGCTTGGCATTCAGAGTGAGCTGCAGAAATAGTCTCTCACCAGCAACATGTGCACTGAGGCAGTTAGGGTTGAACCTCAGAACTAAGGTAGGTCTTCTGACAGACCACAGACAGATCACAGGATCTTCAGCTGGCCTGGTGACCAATCTCTATAGATCTTTGAAGCTTGAGAACCATTCCAGAGTAGACATTTTCTCTTCTGCTGCTGAGGCCATCTGGGGCCTCCCTGCTGGGTTCCTATCTTCAAGAAGCAATGACCTTAAACCCTAAGCCATACTCTGTCCTCATCAGTGGCTTCCATGCCTCTCTGTGTCGGGTAACTAAATACTTAGTCCTTGCTTTCCATCTTTCTCCTGAGCTACCTCTTTGGGTCCGTGGAAAACTTGGTAGTACATTGACAATGACTACACATGAGTACAGACATGAATTTTCGAGAGCCTGGGAATTAACTCTTAAGCCCGAAAGAACCACACCTGATTTGAGGTCTTTGGGAGTAGAGATACAGCAGTGGAAAATTGGGAAATTCAACAGGCCAGTTGCTCTTAGAAATGTATGAGCTTACTGTTTCTTTGATTGCAAAAAATACACATTTCTCTCAGGCTCAAGAAGTGATAAAAGGCAATAAGTCATTAGCAACCATATATCCAACCTCTTCTTGAGTGGAGTATTCCATGGGGTTATCTTTTTCAGACCAATGAATTGCTCTTTAAGCACTCAAACTTTTTAGTCATTTTTAAGAAACTTTTTAAGATTATATTACAAATTTGTCTTCCTTCTTAAACTGAAATTATATATTGAGTATAATTTTAACATGTTATTAATGACTTTGGTCATCAATTAATGTCAGTAATAAAACCTTACAAAGTATTAGTTTATCCCAGAAAATATGGCATTTGTTCTCATCTTACACAATCAGTCAGTATCCTCATAGTAATACTCAGACCTAGTGACTAGTAGAGTTCGGGGAATCATGAAATACTTATAAAATTGATTTAATTATATGAACTAAGCAGTTTACTAATGAAAATATTATATCATGTAAAGTCAGATTTTCTTAAACTGAGAAAAAAAATAATAAAGGAAATCCTATCTATGAACTTATTTTTCTGGGTAAAAATTCTAAGATCTCATTTTTTTTTTTTTTTTTTTTTTTAGCTGTTAAACACTCTGTTGATTTATAGGATCAGGGTTTGGGAATCACTATACTATGAAATTGAGCAGATCACTACCATTTGTACAGAGATGGCCTCATTGTGTAAGAAAGGAAATATGTGTTTGTTTTCTTTACTTGATTGTGGGTAAGGACCATGTCATATTCATCTTTTCATCCCTGGCACAGTGCATGAGACATCCTAAGTACTTAATAAATGTGGTTGAATGGATAATGATTACCATTATTTATGGATTAGAAAAGCATGTTTCTATTTAAGTAAGCTGTAAAAAATATTCTTGAATATTTACTGTAAATATATGTTAACATAAAAAAAAAACTTGGGAGGTCTTTGTGTCCCTGGTGTATTATCATCTATATGGAAAGAATCCATTTTGGTTTCTGTGGCGTGATTAGAAAAATGAATTATTTCGAAGATTTGAAGCAAGTATTCTGTGTTGTCACTTTGTTCAACAGTAAGACTTTATTCTCAGTGTTCCTACTCTGCGTTGTTTACATTTTTGAGAGTTTTCTTAAATTACCTACAATCTATAAAGAATGTATATATTCTTTTCAGCATCTCAGTTTGAAAAGACATGCAGTTAAACTTGACCTTTTGATAATCACTCTTATTGAGGCAAGAGAATTGTCTGTTCTAATAGCAAATTGTAAACATGTGCTTCATAGATAACTGTGGCTCTCAGTCATCATTTTGTCCTATGGTATTTATTAAATGTTCACATACTAACGGTGCACAGGTATTTTTTTCTATAAATCCTTTGAAGGTTCTGTACGTCATTCTTAAGCTTTAACTTGAAGATATCATAATTGCCAGCATTGGATGTTTAGCAATAAAAGAATAAATGTGTACCAGCATGTTACGTTTATCATCATCTATGTGTTGTCTTTTAAAAACAATTTGTACTCTTTTATATCCGAATTGTTCCCATTAATTAGAGTAAAATATTAGTTGTTTGTAAATTCTTTATCTCTTTTTTTCTTTTCTTTTTTATTTTTTTGAGAGTGTCTCACTCTGTCACCCTGGGTACAGGGCTATGCTCACAGCAACCTCAAACTCTTCAGTTTTCATTCATCTAATCTGTATGTGAAAGTTGCTGCAGAATCTGTATGTGAAAGTTGCTGCAGGCTGTAAAAAGAAGTTCTTTAGGCTCAGCGCCTGTGGCTCAAGCAGCTAAGGCGCCAGCCACATACACCTGAGCTGGTGGGTTCGAATCCAGCCCAGGCCCGCCAAACAACGACGGCTGCAACCAAAAAATAGCCAGGCGTTGTGGTGGGCACCTGTAGTCCCAGCTACTTGGGAGGCTGAGGCAAGAGAATCGCTTAAGCCCAGGAGTTGGAGGTTGCTGTGAGCTGTGATACCACAACACTCTACCCAGGATGACAGCTTGAGACTATGTCTCAAAAAAAAAAAAAACTCTTTAAATGAGGTACCTGTGCTCTCACTACTGTTTTGGAAATTGCTGGTTTAAGTATAAAGAAAGGATGATCCACTGTGTATGGTGGCTCATACCTGTAATCATAACACTCTGAGAGGCTGAGGTGAGTGGATCCCTTAAGCTCAGTCACTGGAGACCACCATGAGCAAGACTGAGACCTGTCTTTATTAACAACAGAAAAACGGGGTGGCACCTGTGGCTCAAAGGAGTAGGGCGCTGGCCCCATCTGCCAGAGGTGGCGGGTTCAAACCCAGCCCCGGCCAAAAACTGCAAAAAACAGAAAAACAGCTGGGTGTTGTGGCAGGCACCAGAAGTCCCAGCTACTCGGGAGGCTGAGGCAGGAGGATCACTTGAACCCGAGAGTTTGAGGTTGCTGTGAGCTATGACACTACAGCACTGTAGCCAGGGCAACAAAGTGAGACACTGCCTCAAAAAAAAAAAAAGAGAGAGAGAGAGAACTGTCATGTTTCTTTCTTTTCTTTTCAACTTCTGACAGAAGTTTTTTGTTTTTTTGACAGTCTCACTCTGTGCCCTGGGTAGAGTTCTATAGTGTCCTAACCCACAGCAACCTCAAACTCCTGGGGTCAAGCTCGATCCCTTTGCCTCACCCTCCCAAGTAGCTGGGAATACAAGCGCCCACCACAATGCCCAGGCTGGTTTTTTGTTTTGTTTTTGTCTATTTTTAGTAGAGACGGGTCTTGCTCTTGCTCAGGCTGGTCTCGAACTCCTGAGTTCAAGAGATCCACCCACCTCAGCCTTCCAGAGTGCTAGGATTTACAGGTGTGAGCTGCTGTGCCCGACTGTCTTCTGTAAATTAGTCCATGTTTTTAGGAATTCTTGAATGTGTTTTAACTATAGCATTTGGTTCTTGACCTGTTGCCCTTAGCATTTCCTCACTTGTCCCCAGCCCCATTCCCCCTCCCAGCTCCCATTTTCTCTCTTCTCTCAGTCTCGCTAAGGGCCAGATAAAATAGGTTAGGAAGTTAGCCCAATTTTCAATTAGCCTCATTCCACTCCTTCTATCCTCTGATCCCATGACACTACAGTTGTGGCCACAAGACTAGGTGAATGATTATCTAAACCACCTTTTTAAAACAGCTTTATTAAGATATTAAATTATTTATGTGTAAACTTTAAAGTGTGCAATTCCATGTAAGCCATTTTCATTTATTATTTTTTTTGGGGGGGGCGAGACAGAATCTTACTTTGTTGCTCTTGGTAGAGTGCCGTGTCTCATAGCTCACAGCAACCTCAAACTGTTGGGCTCAAGTGATTCCCTTGCTTCAGCCTCCCAAGTAGCTGGGACTACAGGTGCCTGCCACAATGCCCACTATTTTTATAGGCAGAGTCTCGCTATCGCCTGGGTAGAGTGCTGCGATGTCACAGCTCACAGCAACCTCAAACTCCTGGGCTCAAGGGATTCTCTTGTCTCAGTCTCCCGAGTAGCTGGGACTACAGGTGCCCACCACAATGCCCAGCTATTTTTCGAGACAAGGTCTCTCTCTGGCTCAGGCTGGTCTCAAACCTGTGAGCTCAGGCAATCCACCCACCTTGGCCTCCCAAGTATCAGGATTACAGGCATGAGCCACCACGCCCAGCTGCAAGGGGATATCTTGAGCCCAAAAGTTTGAGGTTGCTGTGAGCTATGATGGCACAGCACTCTACCCAGGAAGACAGCCTGAGACTGTCTCAAAATAAAAATAAAGATTGAGGGCAGAGCCTGTGGCTCAGTGAGTAGGGCACTGGTCTCATATACCAAGGGTGGTGGTTTGAACCCAGCCACGGCCGAACTGCAATAAAAAATAGCCAGGTGTTGTGGTGGGTGCTTGTAGTCCCAGCTACTCAGGAGGCTGAGGCAAGAGAATTGCCTAAGCCCAAGAGCTGGAGGTTGATGTGAGCTGTGACGTCACGGCACTCTACCAAGGGTGACAAAGTGAGACACTGTCTCTAAAAAAAAATAATAAAAAAATAACGATTGATAGTCCATAATTGTCCCTTCTTATTAACTGAATGCTTCTCAAACTTTTCTACAGATCTGCTCCTAACCGTAAAGGACGGAAAACCACAAAGGATCAAAGCAGAATCACATAATTGGCTGTCCATGGTATAAAATTGAAGTGTCGGCTCGGCGCCTGTGGCTCAAGCGGCTAAGGTGCCAGCCACATACACCTAAGGTGGCGGGTTCGAATCCCCAGCCTGGGCCCGCCAAACAACAATGATGGCTGCAACCAAAAAATGGCCAGGCGTTGTGGCAGGTGCCTGTAGTCCCAGCTACTTGGGAGGCGGAGGCAGGAGACTTGCTTAAGCCCAGGAGTTGGAGGTTGCTGTGAGCTGTGATGCCATGGCACTCTACCCAGGGGGATAGCTTGAGGCTCCGTCTCAAAAAAAAAAAATAAAATAAAATAAAATTGAAGTGTCACCTTATCTTAAACTCAAGTGGAGTTTACATTCCATTAATCTTCTCAGGGATCATAAAGCCAGTTCTCTTAAAGATACGAAACTCCGAACTGTAAGAATTAGATCCTAAGAATATAATGATTTCTTCATTCTAAAACACATTGGTGGAAAGTAGTTTATAACAGCTGCTCTGTATACTATTGGCAGTCTATGGGTGGTGTTTTTGTCCATTCATAGTGAAATGAGACTATTATAGATTGTCTTTAGTTCAAAGTAAAGATGATGATATAAGGCTGTAAAGGATGTAAGGATGTAAAGCCTGATGGTATGAGGCTGCCTGCTGCCCTTTATTGAAGAGCTCCCCTTTATTTGGGAGTGTGGAGAGACATATTTAATTTCCCTTAGCCCTGCCAGATTGTCCTCCAGCATGGCTTTTCATAACTGAAAATCTTTTCTTCAGGTTATTGGGGTTTTTTGGTTTGTTTCTTTAGCAGGCCTGGGCTGGGTTCGAACCACCACCCTCCGTGTACAGGCTGGTGTTCTAATCATCAAGCTCCAGGCACCCAGCCAGCCTTGTGACTAACACTCTCATCAGTAAGACATAAGGGTTCTATGTTTCCCCACAGCCTTACCACCACCTGATTTCCAGGTTCTGACAAATCTGTTTGGTTTAAAATGACATTTCATTTTGTTTTCTCAGATTATTAATAAAGTTTTACATCCATATACTCGTTTAGCCCTTTAGGGATTTTTCATTCTGCCAATTGCTCATTGATGGTCTTTGCCTAGTTTTCTGTTGTGTGTCCTAACTTTTCCTCCAACTACTCTGGAGGCTGAGGTGGGAGGATCACTTGGGCCCAGGAGTTCTGATTCACCCTGGCCAACACAGAGAGGCCACATCTTATAAAAAAAAAAATAGATATAATATTTTCCTTTACAAGACTGTTAAATAAAACAGCTTACATAAAATTCTTAATATGGTACCTGGCATACTCAAGTTAGTATTATGAACTGAAATTACTTATTTTCAGAATGGAGAATTATGACATAATTGCCCTGACATCTGAGTCCCTACTGATATGCCTCCTTTTGCTATGCCTTTTAGCCTGCCCATGACTTCAGGGCTGGTTCTGGTTGTCCAGAGTATCTTCTAGACCTTGGCCCTTTTAAGCACTTCCTCCCCCAATAAAAATGGACCAAAAATCATGTATTCTAGAAATTAAAAATCTCATCATGAAAGTATAGCTCTAAAGCAAACAAGAAAATACATGACACCAAGTGTGGTGGCTCACACCTGTAATCCTAGCACTCTGGGAGGCCAAACAGGTGGATTGCTTGAGCTCAGTAGTTGAAGACCAGCCTAAGCAAGAGGGAAATCCTGTTTCTACTAAAAATAGAAAAACTAGCTGGGTATTGTGGCGGGAGCCTCCTATAGCTCCAGCTACTTGGGAAGCTGAGGCATGAGGAATGCTTGAACCCAAGAGTTTGAGGTTGCTATGAGCTAGGATGATACCATGGCACTCAACCCTGGGGTGACAAAGTGAGACTCAGACTCAACCAAAAAAAAAAAAGAAAGAAAGAAAATACATCAGAATACTATTGTGACTTTGTTGCATTTAAATATTTTCTATTAATTAGGCATGCACAAATGGTATCTCATTTTAATTTGGATCCTCCTTAACCCAGAAGGTGGCACTGTGACAAAACAATATAAGAGGGCGGTGCCTGTGGCTCAGTGAGTAAGGCACTGGCCCCATATACCGAGGGTGGCGGGTTCAAACCCAGTCCTGGCCAAACTGCAACAAAAAATAGCCAGGCATTGTGGCGGGCACCTGTAGTCCCAGCTACTCGGGAGGCTGAGACAAGAGAATCGCCTAAGCTCAAGAGCTAGAGGTTGCTGTGAGCTGTGACACCATGGCACTCTACCAAGGGCGACAAAGTGAGATTGTCTCTAAAAACAAACAAAAAACCAATATAAGAGATTTGGGGACAGGATGGCCTTTGAAGCCACCAAATCAGATAATACAAAGCAA